GTAGTTTCTAGACCAATTATAAGATGATTATGAGAAGGGAGACTCTGAGCACAACTTGAAAGAGCAATAAAAGAAGTGTGGATCAAATTCATTAATCTTCTACAAGTGTCATGGAACCAAATTTCTAAGCTCAATTTCATGAAGAATAAAGTCTTAAGATTTTAGTTAAGTAGTCATGTGTAATGAGTAGTATGGGAACCGGATTTATAATGTAATAATAATTATCCACATAGATTAGTTATTCTTTTTTCTATTATAATTACGAATTAGTTTCCATGTAAGACTCATCCACATAGATTAATATTCCTTTCCTATTATGATTGGGAACTGATTTCATGTAGCATTTATTATTATCCCTTTTCCTATTTGGTTTCCATATAGGATCCATTATTCATTTTCGTGATATGGTTGAAAATTAGTTTTCATGTAGGATTCATTGTTCTTTTTCCTATAATAATTGAGTTTTAACATTAAATTAGATTTTAGGCTTAGGGTTAGATTAGATATAAGAGTTAAAAATACTATTTCCTACTAATTTAAAGATTGGGATTAGTACGACATTCACTTATTTAAGATTCACTTATGTGTATTTCTCTTCATTATGCAATTGGAATAAAATAACTTCAACCAAAGGTTATCTTTTATAATTTTTATGATTCTTCCATCTTTTTATTGTATTAAGAAATGGTTTTAACTTATTAAGGTTTTCTTATGAGATTTTTATTAATTTTTTTTTTTTAATTGCAATCATCTTAATTCTGATTATAAGTTAATTGTGGATTAAGTAGGAAGTATTCATTTAGCTCTAAGTGTAGACGTGTGGGTTCAAATTATATGTTAACCTTGTATTCCATATTACTTCTTTTTTGGGTTTTGTTGGATCATATATAACATCCTGAGTCTAAAATTGGGCTCGAAACGGGGAATCTTAATTTTTTTCTAAATGATAATAATATATAAGTTCTTGATTTTAATTATTTTTATTATTTTATCTAGAAAATATACATTTTGAATGTCTTTAAAAATGAATTTCAAAAAGTCAAGGATAAATTGTAAATAAATGATGGTATATTTGAAAGAGAAATTTGAAAACAAGGGTTAAATCGTAAAAAAAAATGGGCCATATGGACACCCAATCAGTGGCACAACAAATCATCAAACGCCACGTGACAGACATGCCGACACAGGCTCCACGCAGGAAGCCACGCTGGCAATCCACGGGGCCAAGCCGATTGAATGGCTCGGGGCCACTCCCCTGCACACGAACAACCTAGATCAATTCTTTGAATAGGTTTGATCGAACGACTCGCGTGTCTCCAATCAAACGATCCGGATTCGTTCCCCAAATAGGCACAATTAGATGGTCTCCGTTGCACGGACGGCCTCGATTGAAAAAAGAGAGGTATTTAAACATTTTTTACTCGGCTCCCTAAAACCCTAGTCGATGTATCCACCAGAGAAGAAGAAAAAGAAGGACGGCCAGAAGGGAAACTAAACAACAGAGGAACACCGATACCACTGTGCTGAAACACCAAAATGCTCCAGTAAGCTCGAAACTCCTTCTTATTCTTCCAGTTTCTCCGCCCTTAGTCGCCTAACACGTTTCCAATGCAGGGTGACCGAGAAAAGCCACAAACTGCGAGGGAGAGACGGTGGAGCTCGGCTGAACCGCCGCACCAGGGGACCAAAACTGCTGGTAAGAAACTATTTTTTCCCTTTTTTTGCCGAAAAAATACCCCCCAACCACGATTTGAACAAAATTTCACCAGGAATCGGCCAAAAATCGGTTCTCCCAAGAGGAAGGACCGCTGGAGAAGGATGACCAGACGTTAGAGCACGACGGCGTTGCTGTGTCAGATCTCAAACTCGACCCTTGGTGAGATTTTTTTTGTCTTTTTTGCTGTTCCTTACGTATTTTTACGTTATTTTGGCGTACGCTTTCAATCTTACCAAGAAAATCCAAGAAATCTAAGAATCGAAAACCGTCAAGAACCCTAATAAAAAAGGCAGTATCTTGGACACCGACCCAATGTAAGAATCCATCACCCATTTTTCTTGTTACGGTTAAATTAAAGTCAAATTAATAATAAATAGAAAATTATAAATAGCTGGCAATCCTTTGATTAATTAAATACAAGTTGTCGATAGACCTAGTAATCGGTTAGTCTATAGTTATCATTAGTTTAATTGTGTTATCTATTTCTATAATCGCTTTATTGTACCTATTTATTTATTTTGTTCTATTTTAAATTTTTTCAATCTATTTGCCTTAATCTATGTCCACTCAGACAGTATAATATGTTTCTCGTTATTATTGCTTTATATCTACCTAAAATCGATATATTAATCATGCATATTGAATCATTGAATCCTATTCCATTCTATTTCATTATCACGTCCTACTATACTTAATTTCGCCTTAATTTATTCATTTCATTATTTATTCATCATATTGCGACGTTTAAAGTTCCTATTCTTATACCTTATTGTATCCTCTTTTATTTACGAGTTTATTCATTCACGTATTTTGAAATATGAATTTCGTACTTTTGTGTTATTTGGGATACAGACATACGTTTCATGGGAGGCTAAATAATAAATAAAAGAAAATGTATGTCTAAATTAATGTTGTTGAATGAAAAGATTTACTGGGTGTCATGAAAAAGAGTGTACGAACTTAATACATAGTGTGAACCCTACTGTGAATATTACCCTCAGTTGTACGGGACTGAAAAATTCTATACTGGATGAGGTTGGGAGTTTATAAGTATCGCTCATACCAGATGAGGTATTGAGACGATTTTTATTTGTAATGCTCATTAACGGACGGGGTATGAGGATGACTGATTGATTACAGAGAAAATGTTTGTATCCACGTGTAGCAAGGATCTCTATGGACCCTCCAGTGACACTAGTTAGGAAAGATAAAATGATAGAGTAATGATGGACATGGTAGGGAATCCGACTTTGAAAAAAATAATGAAGAGTCAAATATTATATATCTTTTGAAATGTATGCTATTAAATTGTTATTCTGATTTCATCTTAGTGTATGACATTTGAGAAGTTACAAGTTAGTTGAGAAAATACTAATGTTTTCAGTGAAACGAGTGATTAATGCATTAATATTCGAGTTTTATTAAAATTGTGTTCTATTGGTCGTTTTATATTTTCTATAATCATTTGATTTTTCATATCAGTGGTGAGACGTTGATATTTTTACTGAGATAGTGTAGCTTACCTATTTTCTTATTAACTATTTTAGATCAGAACGATCAAGACCCGGATCTTGAACAGTAAGAGACCAACTAAAGAATTATGTATTTTATTTTGCTAATTCTGAGTAGAGGTTAATCATATTTATCGTTAATGGTTTTTTTTTTTTTTCCCATTTAAGTTCCAAAATATTCTCATAGCATTTATTTGGACATTTTTAAATAAAACTGTAAGGAATGTAACTTTTAAACTTTAAACGTTTCCGTTAAATAAAAAATTTCAGTATTATTTATTTTACTATTACTGGACTATACGCTCAGAATTCTTGATAAGGGTTTGGATTTTTACATCATATTTCATTAGATGTTATGTGATTGCAAAGATTATAAAAATAATTGAAGTTTGTGTATTTTTATATTATTTTTTGATCTATTTAAATCTATATACTTTTAAAAATAAATTAAATGTTACTTAATATCTTTTTATTATTTTTAAAATCTTTTCCAAATTTTTAAAAAAGATAGTAATATAATAATAAATCAACTAACTAAAAAATGCAACAGCCTTGCATATTGAGAAAATATTAGCATCTCCAAACAAGGGGTAGCGTGAGTTACCAGAAAAGAAAAGAGAGGCGGTTATGCAAAGATCCCTTATTATTATATTATAAATTTCAAAACTAAATAAATAAAATAGATGAATTGTTTGTAAATTAAAGAGGAGAACCTTAAAACCTTGAGAGCACGTTGATGCCAACAAAACAACACGCCTTCTCACAGGTCCAAGAACCTTCAGAAACCAACAGACTCCACTTCGTCTGCACGTGTTCACTATCTACAGCGAGTATCTAGCCATCTTCTTACCCGCGAGTAATACTCGCACCTATCACAATAAAAACGAGGCATTGGAAGGAAATAAGCAGGAAGACTACTCTCTCTCTCTCTCTCTCAAAGCAACAACCCCTTCTTCGTTGCCTGTCTCGCTTCGGTTCTTCCTTCTCTTTACCTTTTGCTTCTATTTCAGGTATACATTTTATATCAACTCTCAATTTCAATTTCGCCATAGGAAATTCTCTCTTCTCTAATTATGCATGTCTGCATTTTCTATGATTTCTCCCTATGCTGTATTGATTTTCTGTTCTCTCAATCCTTTTGGTCTTTTTCTCATATATGTATATATTTTTTTTTTTGCTTCCTCCGATTTTTGGAATTTTCAAGTTCTCTGATCCGTGACTAACTTTGTGGTTATCAACTTTGGTTTTTTCTATTGTCAATGGAGAAATCGTTTGAGGGAGGGATGCGAATTATGATTTTACATTTTCTGGTCAGTTTAATTACAAACTTTTGTTTCTTTGTTTTTTGTTAAATTGGTTTCTGCACTGGCTAACACTCTTGCTAAGTTATTTTAAGTGTATTTTCAGCGGGTTATTAGGGAAAAGCTTCATTTCTATGCTTTTTTTGTGGGTTTGATGTGAAAATCAGGTTTTTATAGATTTAAAATCGATCTCTACTTGATTTTCTCTAGTTGTTCCTTATTTCTTTATATCGCGCTTTCACATGGTTACGGGCAGATTTTACTTTTTACTTCCCTTTTTGCCCGTTTGTGATAATCTGGGACAGATGGTGATGGAGCGGTGGCTTGAAATAAGCGTGAAGACCTGTGGAATGGGGTAATTGTGGTTCAGAGCTTCTCCGTCGGCTCTAGAGGTATTGATCTTCAGTAGAAATTAAGACACTTGTTCTTAACTTTTTTTACTGTCTTAGAGGGGCTGAACCTGAGGTGCATTGTGAGTGTCAACTCTTTCTTCTGTAAAACCATCCATAGACTTTTAAGAAACGAGGTTCCTTAAAATGTCTTATACGTGTGAGATTGATCAACAGATGTAATATATGTATGTATGTATTTATTTATGTATGTGTTTGTGTGTTTTTGTGTATGTATGTGTGTGTATATCAAGTGATCTTTTAGCACCATTTACTTCTGGGTTAACTTGCATATTGTATAGGACTTCAATACTGTCTGTGACTGATTGATTTTTGTTTGAATGTGTTTAGATATAAAAGCAACTCATGGAAAGGATTTCATTTTGGGCAGTCATTTTGAATTAATTTATCATAAATTCCTTTATATTATCCCTAAGGAGTTGGATCACTATGTC